CGTGCGCCCGAAAACACTACACACCACACTTCCAACCGCATTTTCAATCCTACCCGTGACATGTAAATGTGCATATTGGTAATTTAAATTTCCCTTGGTCGACCAAAATTTTTGTGATTTTCGTTCCTACCGGCCCCCCTCGGTATTTGTGTCGCTACCAGCAAGTTGCCCCCTATTCATTACAGACCGCCGCTAGCACAAGCACCCCACATGTTTCCAACAATGCTAAGCTACACACCACCAAACGCATGACTCTGGAATACTAGTTCAGACAACGAGTATAAGGAGAGGGGAGACCGGCAGCTCGGCGAGAAAAGAAGGACCCACTCCTTCCCAACATGAAAGCATCGCCATTCTTAAATCTTAGACGCAAATTGTTGAGGGACACTAGGTCCGAAAGAGGTCCCCAGTTGTTTTTATTTACTACTCTACTAACCGTCGAATTTGATCTTTAGCGTAGCACTTTGAGAGGGACCTCTAGAAGGGATGCCTTCAGAAAGACACCAGCAAAGGTACGGTACCTTCAAAAAACTTTAGAGTGAAGATACCTTCCACATTATTAGTGAATGCTCACCTATGGTGCTAGGCTTTAGAGAGATGAGACTTGCGGAGGACGCGAGGACAACCGAAGGATCAGAAGTGAAATCTAACTTTGCTTTATAGATTTTGGTTGTGTAAAGACCATTTTAACCCTACCATAGTATAATGTTATTCTAGTGATCAAGCCCAAAGGCCAAGGGTAAAACGGTTTCGTCGCGGTAAATAGTGTGCTCTTGGGAAATGAAAGGATGGATTACTGAACAGTGTTCTTGACACTTGTTACGATAATATACCAACCATATTGGGGATAAGATATCGGAGTGGACAATGGAAACACCCTACCATTGTAGCACGACTTTCGTTATCCCGCCCGGCCCGTACTAGCATTCGGCCCACGAACCGTTCCGGCCCGCTGACTTGACAACGAGCCCGCCGCGGTGGACCCCAACAACACGGACGGCGGTGATCTCCCGCCGACGTGGGCGCACGGCTCCACGGCGATCGGACGGCCACGAGCGGCTGTCGCCTACCTCCCAGTATTTTTCCCCCCGTGGCAGCGGCACGTGCACCGAAACGTTTCGATATCCCCGAGTGGTGGGCTGGTCGCCGCCGCCTCGGCGACGTGCGGCTTCTTCCTCCCCTTCCATTCCGCTCCCTGTGACGTCACCAACCACTCCGCTCCACCAGCCGCCTCGCCTCTCTCTCCGACCGACCCACCCACCGGAACGCGCGTCGCGAGGTCGGCGGAGCAGGGTCGGGAGGAGGGCAATGGCGGTGGTGGGCGTCCTCGCGCTGCAGGGCTCCTACAACGAGCACATGGCCGGTACGGAATCCGATTTCGTCTCCTTCTGCTGCCCACCAGATGGCAGATGCTCGTGTTGTTGATTTCACTGGTGTGTGTGGGTGGGTGCAGCGCTGAGGAGGATCGGGGTGAAGGGGGTGGAGGTGCGCAAGCCGGAGCAGCTCCTCGGCGTCGACTCGCTCATCATCCCCGGCGGCGAGAGCACCACCATGGCCAAGCTCGCCAACTACCACAATCTGGTGGGTGGGTCCTCCTCCTTCTGCTCTCCTCGTTCCTTTTTTTTCCCTTCTTGTTTGTGGCTGATGCTGATTGGTTCGTCGATGACGTCGCTCGTGACTCTGTCTGTGTGCTCGGATTCAGTGGCTGGAGCCGGAGATGAATCATCGCTCTGCGGTATTTGGTGGATGATGGAAATTGAATAGAGATGCACAAACATAGAACACGATTGATTAGTGGGTGTTGTTCCTTCATAGTACAGATTATTGGTTGCACAGCCATATTTTTCCAAATTGATTGACACGATGTTGAGCATCCTGCTCTTGGTGTGCCTAGGCTAGACACTGCTGACTCACAGGGAAATAGTGGTTCCTTGCATTGGCAAAAAATAACTGGAAATAGGAAACAGAGACTAACACAAAAGAAATGGAATTTTGCCCACTTTATTACACTAAAATTTCCTAATCCTAAGTATAAAGTGGGAGAATCCTTTTACCCACACCTTCTGCCCATGGAATAAGGGTTGTAGCCTTGTAGGCCAGTGTTGGTTGCCTTCAATCATGGAAATTTTTCCTGGTCAGTAGATACTGTCACATGCTGGTGCATACTACATGTTTCCATGAGATAGTTTCGCAGAAAATAGTTTTACTGGAGAGTGCCACTTCCTTTATGACATTTCACTTCCTGAACTTCTTTATGCCTGAGATTGTATAGTTATGACCTGCCTAATTGCTTATAGCTTTGCAAAAATCTCACTTCCATTTGCCGTGCAGTTCCCTGCACTTCGAGAGTTTGTCGGAGGTGGAAAGCCTGTCTGGGGAACCTGCGCTGGGCTCATCTTTCTCGCAAACAAAGCAGTAGGTGAGTGGGTCACCAATTTATACTTGGCATGTTCTCTTTTTTTGGAAACCAGTTAATAGAATGTCATGCTAGTTGAATAGCGTTACTTGCAGGGCAAAAAACAGGGGGTCAGGAACTTGTCGGAGGACTAGATTGTACTGTCCACCGAAACTTTTTTGGGAGTCAGGTAAATTCGGGGACCATGTGGCCTGTTGATGGGCAGTTTATTGAGTTTTGCATGTTTAAAGGCTTTTTGTATTGTAGTTAAACACAAATATGAACACCATGTTTCATTGCAGACTGTTTCTCTTGCAGCTTCAAAGCTTTGAGACAGAGCTTTCTGTGCCAAAGCTTTCAGAGAAGGAAGGAGGGAATGATACATGCCGTGGTGTATTTATACGGGCACCTGCTATATTGGAAGTTGGTCCAGATGTTGAAATATTGGCTGATTGCCCTGTTCCTGCTGACAGACCCAGCATTACAGTATCATTTGGGGAGGGTACTGAGGTTTGTATGTTGCCTTTTTTTTACTATAATACTACAATTGTCTGCAAATGACCAAACTGAGTTCTGATGTATTTCTAGTAAACTGGCTTTTTAGGATGAGTGCTCATTATTTCCTCTCATTTTAATAGTTGCCTTTAGTTCTTCAATGAGTAGTGAGCCAGTGGATATGGCCATTCCTGGGAAAGCAGCTACAGGATGGTGCTATGAACTATGATCAGATGTGGGCATACTTATATATAACTTGCTGATTCCACATATGATCAGTAGTGAGCCAGTGGATATGGCCATTTCTGGGAAAGCAGCTACAGGATGGTGCTATGAACTACGATCATATGTGGGCATACTTACATATAACTTGCTGATTCTACATGTGGTCTCTGCGTTCTTGTGTAGTCCTTCTAATTATTCTAATATTCAGACAAATGGACTATGAGTACTATTATCACATTTGTCTCCTGTCTCCCTCACTTTAGGATATTACTGGTCTGCTAAAGCATCCATTAAAATGGACTTCCCTATCACAGTGACGTTTGTTTGTTATTTGGTTTGTGTTTCTGCGTAAGATGTGTTCACCTGATCGTGCCTTTTGGGAATTGGCTAAGTCTCTCCTTATTAGAAAAAAAAAACCGAAAATACTAGTTGGCAATCTTGTAACACTGAATTCTGTGTTCTGAATGAGACATGCTTAACCTCTGTCAACTGACCAGAAATATACTATCAGGAAGAAGTTTATTCAAAAGATCGGGTAATTGTTGCAGTACGTCAAGGGAACATCCTTGCAACTGCTTTCCATCCAGAATTGACATCAGACTCCAGATGGTAAGCATGTTCCTTTGATACCATACCATACCATCCACTCGTTCAGTGGTTTAGCCCTCTTATTCCTGACTCTGAAAAGCTCTTGTGCTATGCTCCTGCCAGGCATCGCTTCTTCTTGGACATGGATAAAGAATCCCAAGCAAAGGCCTTCTCTGCGCTGTCATTGTCATCTTCGTCAAGAGACACTGAAGACCGGCCAAAGAATAAGCCTCTTGATCTGCCCATTTTTTAGTAACGCTACAAACAAGAAGGTCAAAGGATTGAAGAAAGGAATGAAGAAACTGACCATATATTTTTCATTTAGCTGGTTACAAAAACAAACAGCTGTGAATCTGTTGCACTCAGCCGCAAAGTGTTGTCTGGTAGCTAACTGTACCAATCAAAATAATCTCGCTGTGTGTTGTACACAATTCTTCAGATAAAGCAAATATTGTTTTGGAAATTACAATTTTTCTGTGCAATGAAAGGTGATCAGTTGGACATTGTGATAATTTCCCCTTTATGTGCAGTTGGTTAGAGACTAACGCCTCCATTTTTGTACCACGTGACATTCATGCCCCTTTCTTTTTTAGCTGCTTGTTAATTGAATTATCTGTGCCCGCATCAGCTCTAAGATCCATGCAATATTTAGAATTCACATTTTTTTTTGACAACAATATTTAGAATTCACATTGGATAAGGACTGCTTTGGAAAATAGGAATTGCACCGGAACTTCAAAGGAATCAATTCATTTTCACAAAAATTGCCGGAGCCTAAATCTGTGTTTTGAGCTTCAAACTAAGAAAAAGATAGCTTTGACCAATCAGCCTCAATCTGCACGTAGCTGCAGCTTCAATTTTTTTTTTTTTTTTTGGAGCTCTTCAGAACAGGCCTGAAGTGAGTAACATTTTATGTTTGTTGTTCGAAAAGTGGAATATTTGTTCAAGCTCGCGTGATAAATTCCATAAAAACCCTCCTAATTTGCCGCTGGTCAGTGCTTTACCGTTGCTCGTATCACCATCACCACCATCTACGGAGTACAGGGACCCACTTGCAGACACCCATTTGTAGAAACAAATTAGTGCTAGTGCTAAATCCAAAGAGGCACAAGGTCCTTGATGTAAAAACCCTGGTTTTCCTTCCGTTCGTCTTCCTTGGTCTCCACTCAGGGCCCAAATACAAAAGGGTATTAGGGGGGAGGCCGCTCGAATCCGTAACCCTAAATCTCCCCAAAACCCTCCTCCCCTCCCCTCCATCCAATCCTCGGGACCAGCGTTCGAGGACGACCCAACGGAGATGGCGGCGGTAGCGAGGGTTTTTCGCGGGTCTCTCTTCCTGATGTCCCCGGCGGCGGGCGCGGCGGGCACGGCGGCGGGGGCCAAGAAGGCAGGCGCGGCGTCGGCGGCGGCGGCGACCAAGAAGCGGACCAAGGCGGCGTCCACGGAGCCGAGGGCGCCGACCGGGATCAGGAAGCCGATGCCGGTGTCTGATGAGTTCAGCAGGTTCGCCGGCGGCGCGCTGAGGTCGCACGCTCCGAGGCCATGAAGCTCATCTGGGCCCACATCAAGGCCCACGGCCTCCAGGTAGCCCGTCTCTCACCATCCGCTCGCCCCTCCTGTGTCCTGTCGGTCGGGTCTAGAGCCTCTCGCTTTTGACTGCGTTGTTTAATCTGGGTGCACTTGCTTGTCGAAACTAATATTGTTTCGTTGTATTATAGTAGGTTGGATTGTGATTTTGGGGTGAGGAAATCCATTTCGGTGGGGTTAGGTTAGGGTTTCGCCTGTGCTACCCAAACTATTGGCAAGGTTGGGGTTTTGGAAAGGGAAGTCCAGTGCGCCTAGTGATGACGTATTTGGCAAAGTTGATCACCATTCTGTACCCTGTTTTTGCTTTTTTATTCCACTGTGTTGGGGCAACACTAAAAAGTTCTAAAAGGTTGAGGTCATCCTTTCTAGTGGTAAGTCAGAAGCATTGGTGATCTCAGCGAGTCTGGTCTCTAGTTTGTGTTTGTGGTGAATGTGAATAGTCAATTACCGTTCATGATTTATATGATGTTCCTTTGGTACAGTCAGTTCCATATGATGTTCCTTTGGTACAATCAGTTCAACTTCGTTAGTATGCCTCATGATTTGTGGTTAGTATGCCTCATGATTTGTTGAGGTGTATTTGTGTGTGCTTTGACAAATAACAAACTGTGCTGCGCTGCAATGGATTCTTTTTTTTGGGGGGGGGGGGGGCGGGGTATTAGTTCCAACTCTTCAGTGACCTGAAAAGTTAAGTGACAGTCACATTTTTCTTAACATCTGGACACTCAAGTTTGAGTGCATTGTGGAGGTGTGTTCCGAGGTCATAATGTTCTTCTTGCAGTATCATTATGTGACAGGTATAATACATTTTGTATGTTCAGATGCGCCTTCTAAAGTAAGCTGTAGATGTCTATTTGACTTAATATTGTACTCTGTTTTTCTGATATATGATCCTGAAGGCAAGGTTGGGCTATATGACCTGTGTTTGTGTATTGATGGAGCATTTTTGTAGCAATTCCTCTGTGTTACTTCTACTTGCCACAGAAAAAATAAATTATAGTATGGCCTGTTAGCCCCTTCACTTCTTTGTTGGTTTGCAGAGTACTCTGTGACTTGCTTACACTGGCTGCCGTGTTATACTATAGATGTCTGCGTCGAACAGTTTTGTGCCCTGAACTATAAAGGAAAGCTCTTCATGGTTTGCAGGACCCAGCCAAGAAAACGGAGATCAACTGTGATGCCACACTCAAAAGATTGTTTGGTGGGAGGGACCGGATTGGAATGCTGGAGATCATGAAGCTGCTGCGCCCTCACTTTTTGAAGAACTAGAAGCAGTCCATGGAGCCAGCGATAGCGCTTTAGTCTACGACTTTATTTGGATGGCCTCTTTTGTGATCCATGTTAAGTCTAGGTCCCACTAGTTAGTTAAGCCGAAATCGTGTGATGGCATTAAGACTACAGACTTTGTTCAGCAGTTGGGTTTGGGGTGTGATGCATGTAAAAAGGATTCCCAGTGTTTCTGTTGGTCTTACCATCCTGTGAGGGCACCGGCGTGCACTTTGATGTGGGAAATGTTTAGTCTGCTAATGGCAAATCTTCTAAGTCCACGTTCATCACTATCTTTGATTCGTGATCTAGCGTTATGTTCCCATGCGTGGCATTGCGTTCTTTAGAGTTATACTCAGTTTGCAGCCTGTTATAAGCTTGTACTTATGCGCTGATGTGCTCTGTGGACTGTGGCTGTGCTGGCACTCTGTTGTCATCGCTGGATGCCTGGATAAACAGACCGGCTGCAGATGACTATATTATTGACTCTGCGAGTTCTACAAAATATTTCTTTCTAGTTCTGTTGCTTACAAAATATTTCTTTGTTCTTTTGAGAGCTTTTGGTTAACAGAGGAATTGAATTATCCTCAGGACATATAGACCGATGCAATACGCTATACATACAATAAGAAATTTAGTGATCTGATGCATAGACAAAGGAGTGAAATATACCACGTCCAATATATTTTGGACAAAATGACCTCAGGTTAAATTATCTACAGAGCTGACCTCAGGTTAAATTGTCTACAGAAGCTGACAACACACAATTGCCCCCTTCAGGATTTACGTTGCTATATCATGCCCTCCAATTTCAGGCCGAGAAAAAGTTCCCCTTTGGTGGGCCTGGTGGCATCTCAAATGTAGGGCACCCTTCCAGTTGCTGGACCGGCAGCTAGCTCTTGTATGCCATCTCAGCTGAGAAGGTGATGCACCCACTGCTTGAGGATTGCCGGAGAGCCATACCAGGGCCTTTCTTCATCATCAGAGCCTACCGGAGAGTGGTACACACCATCAAAGCTTATGTTCAGTGCTCCCTCCAGATGCGCTGCCATTTCAGGAACAACGTCGTCGCCCCACACATCCGCTCGGCCACAAACCTAGTTGTGAATTTGATGTCAAATGGTTTTGTTTCGCAATCGATTGGCAAACTATCTCAGCTGAACCATAACATCCTGCCTCCCCTCAGAAAATAAAGTGTTTTGCAGTTTTATACCTGTTTGTACCCTTGCCCGACGAACCGGGCTCTCCATGTGACACTTGATGGAGTAGATTTTTCATTGGTACTGACAATAACAGCCTCACCTCCTTCTGAAGGAGTGTCAACTGCAAGGATCTCATCAGAAGCAACTGCGGAGTTTCCCAGAAGAGGAGCACCTTGAATGTACCTGCGATACAATAAAGATTGTATGATACATGAACTTATGTGTTCATAATAGAAGGACATGCTGGAATCTGCACCTGTTTCATTTGTTAAAACATCAAAATCAGAAAAATGCATGTTCTATGGGGACTAAACTTCAGGACGAATTGACAAGTTTAGCCAACCAAAAAAATCTGCCAGCTTGACTTTTTAAATCCTCTTTCTTTGATGAAGTTAACGCAGATAACACCACTGCACCTATCTCATTTATTAAAACATCAAACTCAGAAAAATGTATATTCTATGGGGACTAAACTTCAGGACGAATTGACAAGTTTAGCCAACCTAAAAAATCTGCCAGCTTGACTTTTAAATTATCTTTCTTTGATGAAGTTAACACTGATAACACCAGCATTCCCGAACATAATACTAGGTTTGCTTCAGCAATTATGCATCCTCAGGGTAACTTAATGTAATCCAAACCCAAAAAAAAAGTTTAATAGTGAATCAATGTGGAAGCAGCAAGACCCCGAAATCCTAGCCTGAAGAAAGGTACCTTCCAGCAATGCACACATATCTTAATTCTGGCGTATAAACTGCTGGAGCACAATTCTTCTCGACGTAGTTCAGTAGTACTCTAGTCTGATCAATTACCCCAGGTACACCTTTTGGAGGAGGCCTAATGATTAGAGAAAATTAAGACGAAAGAGGTCAAACTCAAATAAAACAAAGGTATGTTCTGCATTTGATTTCGAAACTATGCTTTTCAATATTTCTAACATGATATCGAATGGCAATTCTAGCCTTGCAGGAGTTACCAACATTCAACAGTTTCATTTACAGCTAGAATGTGTATAGCTGCAGAGGTATAAATGGGAGAAAGATGGTTGGGAGATCTTTAACCTAGCATACTGTCTACCAATCGTACAAACAGGAAGTAGTAAAGTCAACTTTCTTCAGTTTCCTATGCACAAGATAAGAGCCACACCCATTTTTTTATAAGAAACACCAGCATAAACATTAAGCCATTAATCATAGACTAGTTCACTTCAAACATGATTTGAGGAAAAGGAAAGGATGACCACCATCAGACTGTAAGTACAAGCACACAACAAGCGTGTGAAAAGAAACCATACAAGTGAGGAGTGCCAAGGGTGAGCAGTAAACTTATGTCGGAAGCCTCAAACTCCGCCATGTACACGCGCGCGAGCCAGCCCCCAGCTGAATGCCCTATCAATGATATCTTCCCACCTGCAAGTAGCAAAGGGTTCAGAATTAAGAAGAGTCTTCTTAACTTCATGTTGTTCAGCAGCTTAGCACTTGCATTGTTAGCAGCTAAATTTCAGTAAACAATTTGTGGGCTTGGACAGCATATCCTATATACCAAAACCTTCATCCAGACAGGCATGAACACATCACGCAGACACACACTAATTTGCTTTCTTGCAATCGCGAGCAATTAATTACACAGTAACCACCAATGGAACGTTAGCATTTCTAGATTTGTTCTAGGACTGGAGGAGGAAGACAAACCTGGTGCGCATAGCTCCCTCGCCTCAGACACCGCGTCATCACCCTCTTCAGGTACCTGCAGCGCAATGCAGGCGAGGTGTTTGGTGAAACGCCGGCCGCGACGCTGACCGACCCTGGCGGAGCACCACAGCGCCGGCAGGGGTGGGGTGTGTGTGTGTGTGTGTGTGTGTGGGGGGGGGCGGGGGGGTCAGCACTCACCAGTCGAGCACGGGGCGCGGGCGGAGGGTGCCTCGCCAGTAGCTGGCGTCGGCGAGGCCCGCGGCGTTGCGGAGCCAGTCAGGGCGGGTGACCCGCGCCACGACGGCCGCGGGGAGGCCGTGGTCGTCCTGCAGCGCCGCGGCGAGCCGCGCGTAGTCGCCCGTGTTGTTCCCGAGCCCCTGCGCCACTACGACGACGACACGCCGCGCGTCACGCACACGAGCGAGAGGGCAAGAGGAAGAAGGGAGGAAGGGGGAGGAGAGGGCACAACTGGGAGGATGACGGCCGGCCTGGCGGCGGCGCGGGGCGCGGCACCAGGGCGCGGAGGAGAGAGGAGCGGGAGCATGTCGCCGCCGTGCCGGTGCGAGTGGGAGTGGAGTGGAGTGGCTCGCCGTGGTGCGGCGTGCGCCTCTGGAACAGGAGCGGAGCAGAGCAGAGCAGCACGGCGAAACGGCGATAGCGCAGCGGTGCACGTGCACGTCTCGCGTCCCTGCACCATTGACCGGCCCCGTTCGTCGGAGGAAAGGAAAATACTGTTGGGCGTTCCTGACTGGCTGCCTGGCCGTTGGATATTGAGATCAATGGCTCGGGTTAAACTGGAGTCGAGAAGGAAAATATGCTCGTGCTGATTTCTTCCTTCTCCCTTTGGAAAAGTTAAATGTTGTGGAGTGTGTTAAGCTGACATCTACTCTTAAGTTCGGCTTTTTTAGGCCCAGTGTCGAGTACGCAGTTAGTGAGGTTTTCCTCAACGTACCATGCCTAGTAGCCCTAACCTTTCATGTAGGCTCAATGGCCTGTTCGCGTGTTTAGTTTATAAGCCATGATTGAAAATACTATTAGCTGATTTAGTGTAAAAGAAAAATATTATTTATTAACTAAAAATAAGTCAAAAGTAAGCCAAACAAACCCAAACAAATAGAACGCAAGTCTTCATGCCATAGGCATCAGTGGTTTCGCTGAGGAGCAGAGTAACCTGTAGAGACAACAGCTGCCCCATCTGACTAAAGATTGGAGCACCCACCAAAAGTCAGGATAGCTCTGGCAAAGAGGTCTAGCTAGCGTTGGATAGCCTTAGTTTTTCATGTCTACGTGTTTTTTTTCAAATTTTTGTCGAAGCCAACGAAAGTGTATGCTTGCATTGCTCCTGCCCCAGTAGGAGATTCGTCTTGCATCTCAGAATTGTCAGTTAGATTATCTATGGGAGGGATGTTTCCACACCAGCCAAAAAAGTCCGAACCTATTTGGTCAATCATAAGCGGTTGTAAAGCTCATCATTAACGTTTTGTGTCTCGGCAGTAAGCTGTCGGTGATGATAACATTCTCATCACCGGCGGTTTGCAACCGACGATAATAATAACTTATCGCAGTCAGTTCGTATTATCAGCTGACGGTGATTTGAATTTTCAATTTTTTTAAAACAGGTCAAAAAAATAGCAAAAAAAATATTTGTTCCAATCCTAAGAAGCCACCCACTAGCTCCAGCTTCATGGTACCGGAAAGCTACTCTAGCTCCAGCTCCAACTCCGCGCTACGCTATTTTACGAACCTGAGACCTTTGTCCTTTGCTCCTCTAACCACTCTCTTTTAACCACTCAACCCCTAAGTCACTTGTGTCTATATAGTATATATATATTCTCCTAGTATTCACCTTTCAGGATTTAAAATAAATATTTAGGACCCTAAATGGCTTCAGATGTAAAAATTATAAACTATAAATTTGTAGTTCTAATCGAGATCTACAACTTTGATTTTGGTTGTTTCGTTACCTGAGGTCGTTTAACAAATTTGAATTTCAAAACGTCAAAATTTCAGCCAGACTTTTGGGACCTCAAATGATTTCAAATAAAAAACTCATCAACTACAAAGTTGTTGTTCTCATCGAGATCTACAACTTTGGTTTTGGTCGATTTTCTATCCAAGGTTGTTTGAAAATTTTGGTTTTTTAAAATTTTAAAACTTCATATACAAATTTGAGACTATAAAATATTTCTAATAAAATAGTTGTCAACTACAAAATTGTATATCTCATCGAGATCTACAACTTTGGTTTTAGTCATTTTTTCATCTAGAGTCGTTTGTACAATTTGGAAAAGGTGAATTTCAAAATTTGAGCGCTTCAAATAGAATTATGGGATCGTACATGGTTTCAAATGAAAAAGTCATCAACTACAAGGTTGTTGATTGCGTCGAGATCTACAACTTTGATATAAAATTTGTTTTTATCTGACTTTATTTGAAAAAGTTATGAATTTATTTATACTACAGCATGGTTATCACCGCCGTATCATACAACGAGCTGACGGTGAAAATGTCTTCACCGCTAGTTCATATGGCTAGGCGGCAGTGATGAGGAGCACATGATCACCACTGGCTGGTGGTGCAAACCGCCTGTAATGATGGACTATCACCGTCGGTTGGTAAGACGAAGCGGTGATGATAGCTATCGACCTGGATGTTCTTACGAACCGGCGATGATACTCTCATCACCAACGGTTCCTATTACGAACTATTGGTGATAGCTATTACCATCGTTTTTAATGATACCGACGGTGATAAATACGTAGGTGATTGATCAATCTGTAACTGTGAGGGGTTGCATCCAAGCAGGTTGATCCAACCCAGGCGCTAGAAATGAACACTTGGGATGGATGGTTGGCTCAGGCAAGTTTTCCAAGCTAGGAAGCAAACATGCCCTCAATGTCTGTCGTGGCGGCCACAATGGCCTCTAGGGGACGACAAACGCGATCCAATAGCTTTGTCAACCTCAACTAAAGTTGTAGTCCACGTAGATGAGGAGAAGGTGAGGAAAACAGTCTCATCACAACACAAGTAACATAAGAAGCTATTTTTTTTAGTTCCACCATGCATTAGTTTTGCAGCTTTCTCCACTTAGGTCCTGTTCGGTTTGTTGAATCTTGACTGAAATTGATTGAAAAATACTATTCTGACTGAAATGTTGTGAGAGAAAAGCACGGTTCTAGTTGAAAAAAGAAGTCGAACAAACCAGATATAGAGTAAACCAAACGGGACCCTCGTTGCTTTCCCCTTCCCCGCCCCTGTGGTTGTTATGTGCGTGCCAGAGGTGTGGTTCGCTACAACGCTCGTTCCACTGGTTGCTTGAGCTTTTTGTCAGATGAGGCGGTCGGCACCTCTGCAGGCTATTCAACATACTGCGAGACTACCACTGATGTGACGTGGAGAGCAAGTGTAGACGTGTTACTTGAGGCTACAAGACACGATGTAGAATTGGGGTTAGCCTGATGGGCTGGGCAGCTAGGTAGCATGATGGAGTCGAAGTGCGTACGATGTCTTGCCTAAAACATTATTCGGACTGATTTGTTGTAAGAGAAAAATATTATTTTAATTAAAAAAATAAATTAAAAAAGACAGATTATAAGATAAGTAAACATGACCTATGTCTTAGAGCTAGGGTAGCACGAGGTAGTCAAAACGCGTACAAGAAGAGAGAGAGGATGGAGTACGGGGAAGAAAGGGTCGGATTCGATGCTCGAAGGACTTCAGCTTCAAGATCGTAGTCCTAGCTAGAGCCGGTGATGCCCCCTAAAGCTTGTTTCAGTGGCGCCTAGCGTATTGGCGATGAGAGAGTAAAACGATTTCATTGTACAGTGGTAATGGTGCTACAATAGTGATATACGATGGAGTTGAAATCACTGTAAAATATAATCTCTTCGTTCTAAATTATAATATATTTTAGATTTTTTTTTCTAAATACTTACTTTTTCGTTCCAAATTATAAGACGTCTTGGCTTTTTTTATATGTATGACCTTTGTTATACACTTAAATATACAATATGATAAGAAACAGAGTAGAAACAATGTATCTAGAAAAACCAAAATATCTTATAATTTATAATGAAAGGAATAACTTTTATTATGAATTTAGATATAAACAAGGCTAGACGATATGCCTAAGTAGATTGGTTTTCATAAAACAAGTGTTTCGAGCCTATTTTTTTAGATTTATTTTAGTATCATTTTTTGGGTGAGAGACGATATGTCATCGTCGTTGTCGTTGTTTCGGACCGGGGGTCCTCAACCAACTAGTAAATGTATACTGCGTGCTCCTAATCCCGGATGGTGATGCAAAGAGACATAAGGTTTATACTGGTTCAGACAATCAGTGCCCTACGTCCAGTCTAAGAGATCGATCTTGTATTCCTTGCACCGAAGTGCTCGTAGTAGGGGGTTACAAGCAGGGCAAGAGAGTGAGCTAGCCCCAAGTCTCTATGATAAACGGGACGAATTGCTCGAGACGTTGATCTAAGTGTGGGTGCTACAACCTGTGTTCGTCTACCTCGTGAGTTCGTATGTGCCTAAGTGTGTTCCAGTTCATGCCCGTCTCCCCCGTCCCCCTAGAAACAGCCCCGGTCCCTCCCTTTTATAATAGAAGGGGGGATGGGGGTGATACATGCGCTAGTTTTGTGGCGTCGTGTGAACAGAGGCGACCTGTCCGAGACACGTACTTTATTCTTTGTCGCGGAATAGTCGATGGAGTGGTTACGCCTGGCGGAAAGCAAAATGCACCGGTCACATCCGATCTGTCTTGACGTAATAGCTTGATGTAGGGCTCGACGAAGCGGCGTGCGGTCAGTAGTGTGTTGTCCGCACGAAGTCGCCGAGGCTTAGCCGGTGCCGAGGCCGAGCCATCGTGGGGAGCTTTCGGCAGTGTGAACCCCAAGGTTGTCGAGACCCTGAGGTAAATTATCGAGGCGTGTACACCGATTAAGACGCCAGGATCCGAGCTTAACTCCCATGCCGTGTTGTCCTCGGAGTAGTTAGAGTTAGGGCAAAGACAAAGGCGGTATGGACATTTAGTCGTGGGCACGATCTTTGCGCCACGATGGCGGTAACTCTGCCTTGTCTTGTTTCGGGCGGCATGGTGTCGATGTGATTTCGCGTCTCGTCGGCCACTCCTCTCGTCTGCAGCATCATCCGGATGACGTCGTGGGAGTGGTTGGTCGAGGCGGAGGCGATGGGGTGGTTTGCCGAGCCCGTCTTGAACGCAGTGAGCGTTGGTAACTCGTCCAAGGCCTTTTAAGGGCGGGGTCTCAAGTAGTCGGAGAATCGGTTTCTGTCAAGAGGCCTCTCGGGGCGAGGCCACTAGCAAGGCAGAGAGTTAGTTATCCATCCGAGGCTCGGGACGTGCCCAGCGTGCGATCACGGGAGCCTCGGCGGTCGGTCGTCGTACTCGGTCTAGGTGGAATAGTGCGGGCGTGTGTCCGAGTGGCACGGTAACCCCGCACCGTCGATGAGGGATGGTAAAAAGAAGATTTGACCGTTGTCCCATCGCTCTGTTCTTGCATACTGCCGGTCATGACCGCGTAGCTGGGTGCTCATGAGGGCATTAAATGGATGGGATAGCTGTCGGAGGGACGATCGGCGGAGGCGGCGAGGACATGGGATTTGAGCCCGGCCTCGGGGCGAGGCGGAGCGGGATCGGGGACGCCCGAGACCACGACCAGGGGGCCTGGGCGAGGCGGAGATTTGGCCCGAGACCCGATTCGGCCCGAGCCGCCTCGGACATCACCGTGAAGCTGTGTCCTTAGTCTGACTAAGGAGGCCTCATGAGGGTTTTATGAGTTTTTTTTCGGCCTTTGCTTAGGATACTCCTTTTTATGGTACCCGACAGTCGTCATAACCGATCACTGACTATACAACAATGATGCTATGCCACAGCTTTGCCTAGGTACCATCTTCATACTGCTGCTACTGCTACTTACATTGCATGCGACCAAAATTGGAAACCGAAAGGTGTCGAGCAGCTTGTGGCGTGGGGCCGTGGGCAGAGCATCTTCAAAACCGTCCACGCGCGCCGAAGCGGCGACGTGCTGCCGAATCCACTGCTCGACCACCGGTGGTGCTCGGCTGCTCGCCAGTCGCCACAGCCACCGCTGAGCGGCGACGGGCCATCCATGGCGGCTGGCCGGCGGTTCGGCCTCGCGAAGCTTCTCACCTCACAGGTCAACGTCCGCCGATGGGGTCACTGCTGATGCCTCCCGCATCAGCGCTCCCGTCCTCACACACTCACATCCCCCGGTGCACTGCACCTGGACGCCTTCCCGGCCCTCACCCCACCGATAAATAACCCGTCCCCCTTCGCAGCGAGATACACCAGCACAAGGCCACATCAGCAGAGCAACCAAAAAAAACCAACCAACGCGCGGGCGCGGCGGCTGCAACCTGTCGTCCTCCCCCAAGCCAAGCTCTCTCTCTCTCTCTCTCTCTCTCTCTCTCTCTCTCTCTCTCCTTCAGCCCGATCGGACTCCATCCCATCCAAATCCAATCGGTGTAGATGGCGCCGTCCATCTCCATCGGCACTGCGGCACCGTCTTCGGCGGCGGCGGGTGTCAACAAGAAGAAGAGCGCCGCTGCCGGCGGTTCTCTAGTGGACGAGGCGGAGCTCCTGCGGCGGAGGAACGCGGAGCTGGAGCAGGAGGTGGCGGCGCTGCGGCTGGAGCTGGGCGCGGCGCGGCGGCGCGCCGAGACGGCGGAGGAGGCCGAGGAACGGCTGTGCGTGCAGCTCGGCGACGCCGAGGTGGAGGCGCTGGAGCTCGCGCGCGCCTACCAGGCCCAGGTCCAGGCGCTCGCCGTGGAGCTCGCCGCCGCGCGCGGGGCTCTCGCGGCCAGATAGATCCTTGTAGTAGGCTAGTAGCTATAGCTCGCAGTGCAAGCGGGATGGCTCCATTTGGTCGTCGTCGACGGCACGGCATCCCGCGGTGCCATTGCTGCCGGCGTCGTCTTTGCAGTGCAGAGGCATGTAAACTTAGAGGGTTGACTGTTGGCGCAAATCTACAACTGAGTGAATCAAGCGGGATTGGATTGCTACATTTGTTCTGATGTTCTTGGTTCTTCTGTAAAAATTGAAATGATCTCTATAAAATTTCCGTGCCATTCCTGTGAAACTTCCTTCGTCACAAAGGGAACGAAACGTTCAGTGTTTCACCACGCCATTGCTGCCTTCTTGTTCTTGCAGCAGCCAGCAGGAGTTGGGTTGACGCCCCGACTTTTGTGCTGTGATTCGAGCAGTAGCTCAAAAGTCAGAACTTGAGATCCGTTGATTGCACTTCATTTTCTCTCGAAATGCCACATTTTTGACGGACGGACTGCGACGTGGATCATTTCTTGAGCGGGGTGAGAGGAGAAGAAATGATTGGAGGGAATCACAATCACCGAATCATGGAAGGAATATCCCTGGCAGGAATGGGCCTGGCCCGCTTCCCTTAGGCCGTGTCTTAATGACTGGATGCAGCCCAGTCCAATATGTCGACGCATCAGGATCGCTCGCCTCCTGGCCTAGCCAGGAGCCCGGTAGCCCACTAGCCCACTAGCCCGGTAGCCTCCAATTGCTACCTTCACAGTTTTAAAAGAGGAAATAACATTGTGGTGCAGTGGTGGACTTGATGTTGCTGCAGGAAAGCCAGAGATAAATTATCTTTGTAACTTATTGCCATCAGGATCGAGCCAATTCCAAATGTGTTTTGAGACAAGAGTACAATGAAACAACGACATCGTTAAGTGTATCGAGAAGTTACCGGCTGCTGAGAAGTCAAACAACAGTGGCAGTGGCCGTCCACTTGGCAAGCAGACCTTGGGATCCCGCATCTCATCAAAGATGTATATAGTCGGAGAAGTCTAGTAAGAGGTATATGTAGGAAATCAACATGAAAGGAGAGAAGGTTTAGATTTTGTTTAATATGGATGAGACATCATGGATTATTAACTATCATCAACACTTAAAAAGCAGGATACATAATTTTTCATTGTAGGAAAAATTAGCTGTTAAAAATCATGGCTACCATGTTTGGACAACAAATTTACAAATTGCTTGGAAAATGGATCTAACCACTACATTATTTCATATAAGAACTGAAACCTTAACATGTCTAGGTTGGGATTTATTTTTCCGTGAGATAACCACCACTTTATTTCATATAAGGTAAAGTAAGCTGCAGGCTTGGCCTTGAAGAAGCAGGTACTCAATTTGTACTTGAACTACTGATAGAAACTGTGCATGAGATCTAATTACCAAATTCTAAATTCCATTCACTTGGTGAAAACACATCATGCAATAGTCTCTCCAACTTTAGAACAAGAGGCAAGACACAGTTGAGGGAAACTTATTGAGTTGCATTGGAACCTCACAGTTTGTATCTGTCCCCTGCAATATATTTATATAAATACAAATTAGGAAAAGCATTAGAAAATGTAGTTCTCAAGCTGCCAAAGAAATTGTTTTGAGGATCTGTAGCTCTAAAAAAACGCGAGAGAGAGGATCTAGGGAGGAGCTATGGGACGAAGGGAAGAGAAGAAGAGGTGAGTCACCGTGAGATCCTGAAGCCAAGAGCTTCATGCATGCCATGCATGGTGCCACCATGCAAATGACGACGAAGAGTAACAGCCCATTGCCATTGCGACAGCACCTAGGGTTTCTTGACGAGGAGGAGCACAAGCTCCGAGCGGGAAGAAGAGGCGTTGAGAGCCCGCGGAGGATGGGGGAGGGAGGGCCAGCTTAGAGCCCATCTTTGGGCCGCCAAGCGCGCCTGCAGAGGGCATCATTACTGGCGCCCAGGCGCCTCAGCATCCACCTGCCTCGGGAGGGAAGGAAGGAGAGAGGAAGGAGGAGAAAGCGGAGGAGGTGAGAGGCAAGGCGAGGAGGGGAGGAGGAGGAGGAGGAGGAGGAGGCCGCCATCGCCATCGCTGCCGTCTTTCAGCGTCGGAGACGAGAGGAGAGAGAGCAGATGGATGGGGAAAGAGAGGATGGAGCAGAAGAATCTGGAACTAGAAGCGGAAGCGTGGTATATATTTGGTTCTCCGGATTGAGACGAAGCGGGAGAAGAAGAGGATAAGGGGAGAAGCTAATGAAGCTCGAGAATCGGTCGTCGGCAAGAATCCGTTTCGAGGCGTCGAATGGAAGATCCTACTGCTAGGAACATTTGGAAGCGAAGCGGGAGAAGAAGAGGATAAGGGGAGAAGCTAACCAGAAGCACAAGAATCGGTCGTCGGCAAGAATGCGTTTCAAGAAATTTGGAGCGTCGAATGGAAGATCCGACGGCTAGGAACATTTGGAACGACGTGGACGCGGTTTCTTGGCCAGGAGCTGACGCTTTTAAAAAAATTGTTGAAATTAGGTTCGACACATTCTGTTCTCTAGTCTCTGATCTCTCGAGGGAAAAAACTAGAGACATCAACCACCATTTCATACGCCCCTCATCACATCACATTCACATCTTAGTTACGATCTGCAGCGGCCTTCCTCGGCGGTGCTAACCGAATCCGTGTTCGCGTGCTCGTCGAAACCCCGAGCTGCTCTCCAGCCTGAGGGAGGACCGGTCCGTACCCATGGCGGGGATCCTGGCGTGGGCAGCCGACGTGGTCGGCGGGGCCGGCGGCAGCGACGACGAGGCCGACGACGACGCGCGCGCCGCGGCGTCGGCCGCCATGACCCCGGCCCAGCGGCTCCGCGCCGCCGACCTGGACGCGCGGGCGGCCTCGCTGCGCCGCGCCATCCAGGACCTCCGCCTCCGGGTGCCCCCGCCGCACGTCGCGCAGCGCCTGCCCCACCTCCACGCCCACTCCCTCGCGTCCTCCGCCGCGCTCGCGCTCCAGCTCAACGCGCACTCCTCCACCAAGGAGCAGGTGCACGACCCTTGGCTTAGCTCCTTTTCTCTGTGTTCCTCCTCTTGGACGTTTTTCATCCCTTATTTAGGACGACAAGTCATCTTGATAATAATCGTTAATTAATGGGAGAATAGCAGTACTGAAACTAAGTTGGAGCAGCCCCATTTGATCTGGCTCAGGAGCGCAGTTCGTGGATCTGGATCCAGTTAGGTGCTTGGATGGTTCGTTGGCTACAGATTGTATTACATTGGAAAATGTAAAGGAACAGCTGTGCCTGTATGTTGTTTGTATATGTCCATCCTTTTGAATGGGAGATGGCAATATTTGTTAGGGTGCTGAGTTTCTCTAGGGACACTAGTTGGTATTCACATCTGTAGTTGTCAACGATATGCAAACAACAACAACAACAACAACAAAGCCTTTAAGTCCCAAACAAGTTGGGGTAGGCTAGAGTTGAAACCCAGCAGAAGCAATCAAGTCAACGATATGCAAAGTTTGAAAAATTTCTAAATCAATCAGCTGATGTAACAATTGTATTATTGGTGCATTAACCACCTATAAGGATGGGCGCAGTTCAACTGTATTGCTCATCGATTACTTGAAAGTTACAGTTGGTTTCTTCTCACACTAGGATAGTTGGGCGTTCATTCATGTGCAGATTTCTATAACAGATCCTCTAAACTTTCTGTAGACACAGCAAAGAGAAGTAACTCTCCAAGAAGAAAATGCAGCCTATGAGAAAGCTATATCAGAGTGTAATCAGAAAATTCAGGAAAAACAGATGGAGGCCAGTCAGCTTCAGAGTAATCTGGAGGTACACCACCATACCATTTAACAACCCTGTTTTTCCCTCATGTCATTTTCCATTTTTTATGTGTCTTATTTTTCCACTATCTAATACTCTTCTAAAGCAGGTGTTACTAAGCACATGATGCATATTACATGTTTTTTTTTTCATGTTACTTAAGTGTCATCAGTTTTTCCTATTGTGAGGTTAGTACTCTCTAAGCATATGTAAGATACCGTGGACAGGAAGTACACTAAAATATGAAAGAACTAGATATCTCCTCAATCATGTGGTTTGTTAATGGTGAAAAAGATTTACGTTGAAGGTTGTTGACCAATTCTGATAGGTAAACCATGGTGATATTGTTATTGTTTCTGTTTGCCAAACTGCATCATAGATCCCTTGATTATGTCTTGTTGAATGTTGAGCAAACAAGCTTACCACCCTACTACTTCATTTGCTTGTTTCTTCAATTTGTTGTACACAAATGTTGAAAGAATGATAAATTTGTCTGAACATTGAGGCAGAGGCCATGAATACCCTAAAACAAAATTGTGAGTTTGTCTCTGCATCAGTAAGGAATTACTTTAAACTCATTTACGAGGAATCCATGTTGTCCTGTTCTATGATGAGTATCAGGAAGTCACAATCAGCCTGTGTGGAGCTTTCTAATGCTTGAGTCATGTATGTATGATGTTCATTAACTCGTACTCTTCACTTGAATGGTTTCCTTTGAAATGCTATTTATGTTTGCCTTTCTGCATATAGTTTTTTCCATGCAAAGCATAGGGCCTCCCCACACATCACTTTAATAGAATATGTTAAATTTTCAGGAAATTGAAGTAACAGAGCATAATTTGAAGACACAGCTTGAAAATGCTCTGAAGGAGCAAGAGGCTGCTCAACATAAAGCATCAACAGCAGCCTCTGGAACAACTGAAAATGCTCTACTGGAAGCTAAATCAGCAATCAATCTTAAATCTAAAGATTTGGAGGAGAAGAAAAGGGAGCTGGTACGTTATCTTTGGACTCTTCTTATGCTCTGTGTGTTTGAATGCAACGTCGGAGTCTTTTTTTATAATTATTCTCCCCTCACAGGAACTATTGGATAACAAGGTGCAAACATTAGAGAAAGAGTGGTCTGTGGTTGAAGAAGAATCTTTAAAGAAACCCACTCCTGGTACTTTATACTTTTCCACATGTCAATGTTTTCATTGATTACATGTTGGATTCCCCATGCTTATTCTTTTTTTTTTGGCAAAATGTGATTGTGAAGGGGCCAAAAGTGCCTATGCGAATAATGCCATTTATATTTGTATTACGTGTGAACGAGAAAAGACGCCAAACCATGAGTAATATAACATAAATAATTCCAATGTTTTGCATCATATGAAATGCTTTTCTAATCACAGATTTAACTTTTTATGAGTCGGTTTAGCAATTTTTTTTTATTGGCCATCTCTTTAATTGCTAAAGCCTTATTTAAAAAAGCCAACTGCTAAGAGATACAGTATATTCTGAATCTTGGAAGAACACAGAATGGTTTTATTTGTTTGAGCCTTGCTGCTATGTATACTAGTAGATCATTTCTTACTTACAGCACTCAGCACCCAATTTCTATTGGTTAACTTGGTAGGGAGAAGTTTTCTTTTTAAATTCTCAGTCTTGAAGGCATAGAAGAACTAGGCATTTTCTCTTGAAATTACCCTGTTATAAATCATATTGGTTCAAAGTAAACCATATGAGCACATTAATTGGGCATCCAGGATGTTAATGTCCTACATGGCTACACCTCATGTTTCTAAGAGCAAGATTACTCCAATTGTTGAATTTGGGTTTTCATGTTTGGAGGGAGTAAGATCTCTCCATCATAGAATTAGGGAATTTTGCATTCTATGACACTATTTTGAGGCAATGAATAGATGGTGTTGTGAACTTGTGATAGCAAATTGTTTCTCATTTTGGAACTTTAACAAAGTTAGTTCTCTCTAATTCATAAAGCTCCTCTAAGAAATCTTGTGATGCTCTGCCAAGGTATAAATAGGCAAAGCAATTATCCTACACTTTAGCGCAGTTATGCCTGCTGCATATTTGTTTCTTCTTTTATGTGAATCTATGAATTTTAGCTTGTCTTCTGTTACATATGCAGCACAAAGAGAGAAGGTCCTGGAGAGACAACTACACAGCCTCATCGAGCAGTTGACAGCTAAGCAAGTCAGTTCTATATCCTCGGCCTTTGCGTCTTGTGAAGGGTAGCAGCTCCTACCTTCTCAAACTTTGATTCTGTCTTTTGCTCTCACGTAGGCTCAAGCTGAAATCCTGGCCACTGACGTGCATTCCAAAGAAAAGGAACTGGAACGGCTGAACCATCTGCATAGAAACCTCTACAGCAGTGCCAATGAAACTGGTGCACCCCGGAGCCGCCTCAACAGAGGCCTCTTGAGCGGCCCTGAAGATTATTATTACGACCCTAAAGGGGGTCGGAGACCGTACCAGGCTGGCCTTAGAACAGAAGGCCAGAACCGGCTGATGATCCTTAGGTCCGCAATTGTACTGTATGTTTTGCTGCTCCATGTCGTCGTTTTCATAAAGATATCAGTTTGAGATTATAAAAAAAAGTATCAGTTTGAAAGCAGTTGTACTAGCACTTCATAAGTTTATAGGAAAACAGAAACTTGGTTTTGTGTACCAACCATGCAAACGTTTCTGTGTAAATAACTTGTATGTGAGTATGTGACCCCATTGATGGATTTATAGGAGAATATATGAAATACCCGCTGCCATATTTTTGTACTATTTCTCCTATGTTTTTGTAGAATTTCATTTGAATAAACTTGGTTTTAAACACCCCCCTTTGGAATTGTAACTGATTGCTGTGAAATTTCTGTGCAATTCACGTAAAATTTCTGTTTTCTAAAAGGTGCTCTAACTGTGTTTGGCCAGCAACTGCTCACACTCAGCTGGTTTGGCTGGGAACTGGGCCACTGGGGAGTGGGGACTCTCCTGGGCCCACACGCAGAGGGACATGCTAATCCTCTTCCTCTGGTGAGGTATCGCGGCGGCAAATCCATTCCATTCCAATGGCGGCCTCGTCGTCGTTCAAGCCGAACCCGCTGTCGCTGAGCGTGCCGGACCCCGCGCTCGACCGCTGGCTCCGGGACAGCGGCTACCTCGACCTCCTCGACTCCACCACCACCGGAGGGCCGTCGTCAGCCTCGGCCCCCTCCACCTCCACCTCCACCTCCTCCTCCGCCGCCAGCCCCGCCGCCGGCCCGGCCTCCTCCAGCGTCGCGGCCGACGTCCTCGCCTTCGCGCGCACCCTCGCCTCGCTCCTCGCGCTCAACCCCTTCGCGCGCCTCTCCACTGCCGACCTGGCCGCGCCCACCCCATCCTGGTCGCTCGCCTTCGTCAGGCCCCCGGCGCCGCGTCCTACTCCTGGCCGCCCACACCCACCCTGGCCAGGCTCCGCGTCCAGGAGAACGTCCGCCGGTACGCGCGCAACTACGCCGCGCTCACCATCCTCGTCTTCGCGTGCTGCCTGTATGTATTTAGTACTGTAACCCATCTCATTTCTTCACTTCCTTTGATTCTCGAAGCAGCTACCTTGATGAATGATGATTTGTGTGGGCAGTTACCGGATGCCGATGGCGCTGCTGGGGATGCTGGCCAGCCTCGCCGTCTGGGAGGGCGTGCGCTACTGCCGGGACCATTGGGGCCTCACCACCAGGGCTCCAGGGGTTGCCCAAGCTCTGCTGCACTGTGCACAGATTGGTGAGTATGATGTTCCTGCCTGCCCAACACTTAGATTGATATCTTTTTTTTTTCTCTCTCCTCTGAACTCTGAAGTGACAATTGAGATTCTGGCGCTAGCAACATCAAACAAGATGATTACATGCACGTCATTAGGTTGCAATTGGAATGAGTAAAATGAACACCTTGCAAATTCCAATACCTGAAATATTGCAAATATGAGCAAAAGAATTAGTAGCTCACTGACATAAGGTACGCTGCTATGAAATTTATTAAGACGACTAGAAGTGGAGCAAAAAAGGACATGATTGATGCAATTTTAAGGTCAGAAGACCTGTAATCTATCGTACAAAATTCTGTCCGCTTAGAAAAATGTATGTACTTAGACCATTTGCTCTCCACTCAGTACAACCAATTAGTTCATCGAAAAGCTCTGAACATAACAAAATTCCGACGAATTCATGTATTACCCTATGTTCTTGAAGAAATTCTTGTTATACATGAATATTCCAAAGGACTAACCTTTTCAAGTTTCAACTCCCTTGCAGTATATCCTGTTCGAAATTTTTTACTTCCCTCCATGGGTCATATCCAGGTCTAAAGTTCCATTTTCATGTAGAATGGTATAAATGAATAACGGTATATTATGTTTTCTGTACCAACTAGAAAATGTATTTACTAATCGTGCAGTCTCTTAGCTATGGATTATTATGTGTTGCTTAAAATGTGGAAGTTATTTGCTGATCTCTCTTAATATATCAGAAGCAAATAAGCAATATAAGTAAGATGGGAAATACGACAAGCTTTACTTTCACTTATAGTTTTGTTTTGCTTGATTGGCATCCTGTATTTAATTAGGGGAAATCTTCTATTTGCCATCGTGAGGTAGCTTATCTTGTACATGCCATAATGAACATGTCAAAACATTTTCTTTCCGTACCATCATGAATATAAAGAGGGCAAACAGCGTCACTGCTTGATGAGAAATTATATGAATGCCCCCATCTATAACTTTGGCAATGTGGGAAACAAGGGTCCACCAAGGTGTTGCAGTATATTGCATTATCATCTAATGTTGCATCATATATTTGGTAGA